GTAATAACTCATAATTCATAAATGCATAGTTAAATTCCAGTAGTTTCAGCAAGGCAGCAAGCAACATATCCTAGATTTGGCTCATATTTTTATTCACTTGAATACAAATAGGGGCATACAAAGGTATATAGAAATAGAATCAACAGCAACCCATCAATTTCATTTTTTGGTGGAAGCTAGACCTGTACAAACGCGGGCTCAGGTCGGGCTCGGGTCGGGCTTTACCTAAAATTTCTGCCCACTTCAACGGGCCGGGCCGGCCCGGCCCGGATTAAACGGGCCACTTCCCTTGTCCATGCCCGCCCATACTAGCGGGCCGGATAGTCCATCGGGCCGCCCGGCCCGGGAAAATTTAGCATTGATTGATAGCATTTCTAAAATATTATCACATCTTGAAAGCAATTAATAAGCTCAATAACATTAATATGCGTTCATGGCATACACTAACTGTTTTGAGCAAAACGTTCATCCAAAACAATACCATTAATTTAAAGTCAAACCACAAATTGAAACAAAAATGTCCAATTAATAAGAAAGACTTAAAAAGTCACCCATTACAGTCATTAGAAATTTAATAAGCATAACACAAATAATGATTTAGCTCCCAGGAGCTTTAAACTATAAAGATACATGTGTAAGGTACTTGATTCCTTTGCCTCTTCAGTCTTCAAGATACATGTGAACACAAATCATCATATTAATAATAACAAAAAACATATGGACTAATATTATATAAAAAAGCAGAAACATTGAGATCATAAAACCTATATATAATGGAAATCTTACATTATACCATTATCTCATTGTCTTCTTCATCCTCGCTATCATTCGAAGGTCCATCACCAATCTTGAACATACTTGTGGGACCTTGGAAGTTGCAAAACATACAAAATAGCAACAATTTAGCACATGTAAATTTTATACAATTCAAACCAAGTTGTAATGGAATTAACAAAGCAACTAAGCAAGGAAGAAAATAAATATGTTGTACATAATAATTTTACCCGGTTCAAATCCAGCAGCACGCAACCAATCCTCATAACATGCAAGTGCTTCAACAGTTGTGGGGGACATAGAACTTCTTGTAGGAGTTATTATTTTCTTCCCCAAACTAAAGGCGGATTCGGAAGGAACCGTAGAGACGGGAAGACTTAGTATATCCCGAGCCAAAGATGAAAGAACAACAAACCTAGAAGAGTTGCGCTTCCAGAATTGCAAAACATTAACATCATCTTTCATATTAAGAGGTTTTTCATCTAAATAAAGGTCCAATTCAGATTTTATTTCTGTCTTCCTTTTCTTGCTCATAAACTGATAAAGATCTTCATCATCAGATCCACTATCAAACTCGGATTGTAGCATACAAGAATTAAAATTGCTACTTGAGGTGTTCTGGCCAGATTCCCGAAGTTCAGAAAATGCAACCTTGTATTCATCTAGAAGCTCAACCAAAGTATTTCTGATTTTATCCACAAAGTCCTTAGCACTTACTTCCCCCAGTAACTTCTTATACAAAAACTCAACACCATCTAACTTTAAACGAGGATCAAAAACAGCAGCACAAGAAAGAATGAGATTGTAATCTTCCCAATATTTTGCAAATTTCAATTGCATTTCAGACACCGTGTTAGATAAAATGCTGGGAGGGGCAGCTGCTGTTTTTTCAACAATCTATGAATTTTCCACACCCCACAAAAATAAATATTAGAGGTCGGTGTCTTAGAAGCAGAAAAGTCATTTGTCACATCAAAAAATACTTGCAAGAACTTCTTCAACTGACTTACCTTTGCCCATTCCTCCTCTGTGAGACGATACCATTTCAAATCTACATTCTTTCCAACAAAGCTATCAATAGCATCCCGAAAATAAAGGAAACGATCCAACATAGTGAAAGTTGAGTTCCACCTAATAGGTGTGTCTAACCGTAGCTTCTTGGTGGTATTCAAGTTAAAAGTAGTGGAAGCTATCTCATAAAATTTTTTGTTTTTTGGCATGGAATGCCTCAAATGTGTTACTGTTTTCCTTATCTTAATGACAACATCATCAATGAGTTTCAGCCCCGCTTGAACCACTAGGTTAATAATGTGACAAGAACAACGGATGTGAACAAAATTCCCATTCAACAACAAGGTGTTTTTTCTTAACAGGTGCTTTTTAAGGGATGCTATCATTGTATCATTATAAGACGCATTATCAACCGTAAAACTAAACACCTTGTGACCTATTTTCCATTCACCAAAACATAAAAGAATCTCATCAGCAAGAGAAGAACCATCTAATGAAGGAGGTAAAGCCGCAAATTTTATTATTCTCTTTTGTAGCTTCCAAAATTTATCAATCCAATGAGCTGTAACACACATAAACTCATCACCCGTGTGTTCACTCCTCCAATTATCAGTAGTGAAACAAATACGACCAGGAGCGCTTTCAAGCTCTTGAGCAACAATAAGTTTATGAGATTTATAGTTACTCACAGAATCTCTTTTAACGGTCGCTCTACTAACCTGATGAAACTGAGGTGCAACAACACTCATGAAATTCTTAAAACCAGGTGCTTCAACAAGTGTAAATGGTAATGCACATGACACAAAAAGAACAGAAATAGCTTCACGAATGGCAGAGGGGCTAGGAAAAGGCCTACTTAAAGACATGGTATTCGCAATTTTTGTGGCACATTCTATAGTAGAATCACCAACAATACAAAAGTTTCTGATGTTATTATGCTTACGTGCAGCACAATGAGACACATGTCTTTTCAAATGAGAAGTTCCACTCTTAGAATTGGCAGTAAAGATTTTCTTACAGTGCTTACATGTAGCTCGAATCACCCCATTATCCAAAACATCTCTCTCCATATCATCCCACACATCGGATTTCAGTTTTTTCCCTTTCAATGTGCACTGGTTTGTTCTACTTTGATCTCCCCCTTCACTGTCTATTGCCTCTTTTTCAATGTGATGGTCTTCCACTGATCTAGGTTAAATAAAAATCAAAATAAATAAAAAAGTACGAAGAGTGAAATCTATAATAATTTTTCCTAATTAAAATGTAAATATTCATTGAAGTAAAATAGTAAAGTAACTCTTAAAGTTTGAGGAAATGTATGAAAGAGCATTCTAATTTCATAACGTGGTCACTGTTATGTTTTCTTGGGAAAACATGATCTGAGACCAGCAGTGAGTCAGTGACAAAACTATAAGTTCTCCAGCAAGATGAATGAAAGTCAACAAGCATTCTTAATTGGAAATGCGATGAAAGTGAATGGACCAAAATGGGGTTATCTTCCATCACAACAAAAAAAGCATGAACGTTTTTCAAACAACTAATTCTGCGATGAAAGTGTTTCATATTTCAGAATTCCGAACAACTAATTCATTGGATGCATGAGTAGAAAATTAGAGAGTTTGATGCAGTATAGGAGTAGTAATTAATAACTTGAAATAGTTTTTCAAAAAAAAACTTGAATGGAGGTGAACTTATTCCGAGCAATTAGTAACTAATTCCGAGCAACAGATTTAAGAACGAGAAAAGAAAAAAAAAGATACCGGAATACCTCATTTGAGAAGGAGACGAATCCATGGATGGAGGTGAACTCACACCTTGATCTGGAGACATGGAAGCAATTGAATAATTGATCTGCTCTCCTGCTTGGCTGCTAGTCTGCGTACTGCTACTCTGCCTGAGTCGGCTGAGTGCCGAATGCCGATTAGTTCTCTTTCCGGCTGCGTACTGCTTGGCTGCTAGTCTGCGTACTGCTACTCTGCTTGGCTGCTTGTTTATGCGAAATAGGGTTTAGGGAATTGGGTTCTGCGGTTTGGAATTGGGCCGATGTCTGATGGGTATTACCGTAAGATATAAGGAGTATATCTTAATATATATTATATATTATTATATATATTATAAATTTTCGGGCCGGGCTTTTTGGCCCGAACGGGCCAGCAATAGAACCCAAACCCGCCCACATTTTTACCGGGCCCGGTCCAGCCCGACCCGGTGGGCAAATATACATGTCCAGACCCGCCCATTTATATGGGCGGGCCGGGCGGGCCGGCCCGTGTTTGTACAGGTCTAGTGGAAGCTATCATCATTGCTAAAATTATGCAACAATTAGTCTAATAACTCATAAATACATATACATTAGCAAATTCTAGTAGTTCCAACGAATTGCAAGTAGAATGATATATTTTGGCTCAGATTTATATTCACTTCACTATTAATGGGCGCATACGAAACTATATACAAATACAAATAGGTTCTTGGGAATTAGGAGTCAGAGGAGGTTTAGAACCAGATGCAGGCATGGTATTCATACATTCAACTTCCATTCTGATAACTGATAAGTTTCTACAGTTCAAATTTCAAAACCCTCAATGCAAATATACATCAACAGATTGAAGTATGAACACAACATCATACATTCAAAATAAAGTCAGGAACAATCAGTAAGCTGATCTACAGAAGGATATAAGCAGTAGGCTTATTCTCTTCTTTACAGACTTAGAAGATACCACTTTACTCTAACTACTCGTTTGAGTGTTTGAGTAGAAAAAGGCAACTTCAACACTTGTGAGAATAAATCAACCATCATCTTTACTCAGAAAATTGTATTCACTAATAATCAGAAATTCAGAATATACAAAATATTTGTATGAAAGCATCATAATTCTGATTGCTCCACATTACAATTTACACACATATCAGAGAAATAGGCAGCTTCCACTCAAAATATCATAATAACATATTATCAAGCGTGACCAAAGCATCACAGATTGAACATAACATCATACATTCACAATAAAGTCTGGAACAATCAGCAAGTTGATCTACAGAAGTATATAAGCAGTAGGCTTATTCACTTCTCTACAAACTTAGAAGATACCAGTTCACTCTAACTATTCCTTTGAGTGTTTGAGTAGAAAAAGGTAACTTCAAGACTAATTAGAATAAATCAACCATCATCAACACTTGTCAAAATCTCAGAATCATTGATTCACAGACATGACCAATTACCAAAGCATCACAGATTAACAAGTATTTCATACAAAGGGTTTCACATCCCGGATCTAAGGTTTCAAGCTTACACCAAACACATTACAGTGCATCAAAGTAACTCAGGTAATTCATATACAATATCATAAGACAACAGACTTAGGCATCAAGCTTCCTTATTATTGAACAAAAAGCAATATGAAATAGATAGAACATAATTTTACTGGGCAAGGGCCTCATTTTGATCTTCAGAAGACCTGAACGCATTCAATAGATTTTGTGCAACCAGACTGCATTTCATCTTGACCGCCTCACTGAGTCCCTTGATTTGAACGATGTCTAGGATATTCCTACATTTTGCAGGATCTTCAGTCTTCAACATGCAGGCTAAAATATATACAAACTTAGGGCAAGCCTTAGTTTGTAATGTTGACATGAAATTCTCATTGAACACCCTTCCAAACCTCCACATCCTCTTGTCATATCCCTCTCCCTTTGTGGTCATCATCCTTACAAAGTCAGATAATGCATCTATCTGCCTTTCAAACTCTGGAGTATACATCGTCTGCAAAATGTGTTTGCTATTCATCCCTAGTGAAATGCACAAGTTTGCAAATATCCCAACCGCATGCAGTCCACTGTTGGCTAAATGGATTTCATATAAAAATCTCCTCAGTCCTTCATGCTTCATATCATTCTGAGTATGGTAAAGTAACTTATACAGTGTCATTTTCATTCGGTAATCAGATGAGAAGGCGGAATGTAACCCTGCCATAGCTTGCTGGGTAGGAGGTATCGGAGTGATCGGAGGAGAAAATCCGTAAAATCCACAGAATCTTTGGAGAATGTTGGTCCATGCACCGATGTAATTTTCAGGAGACTTAGTAAAAAGCCTTAAGGTACTCGCAGCTAGGTAGCAATAGAAAATTGCATCTCGATCAGGGTTGTTGGAGAGTCCACAGCACATCTCTGTATGAGCTCCAGAGTACTGAACATTTATAAGAGTTGCACCATCTGCATCCATTGCTGCAACCTCGGGACTCATTTCTTCAAAAATGTATCCCTCTCCTTCAGTGTGCGGTATTCGCAGGTTATAAGCAAGGGTGAATAAAGCAACTACTCCTTCCGTATTGAATCCCGTTGAAAACATTGGTATCGTCTGTCTCCCAATCTCACATAGTTCTGCGAGATCTTTCCTCTGAACAAATACTCCTTCTTCATCCAAGTACTTGTTGTCAGGAAAATCCTTCTCAACAATTTGCAAAGTTGCCGTTAGGTTTGGAACATCTACATATCTCAACTTATTTGCAGCCGGGGCCATCGGCTTCTTAAGCGACAACAATGCCAACTTCGCTCTTAATATAGCATGTGGGTCTGTCAAGTCCAGTTGCATCATAATTGACGGATCTATTCCCTCTGCTGTTCTAGGGACTGTGGCCTGAGGCTGGATGGTATTTTGGGCTCTTGCCTTCAGCTGTCTCAGGTAGTTGTTCAGATTCTCTTTGTGATCCATCAGAACAATATTCGCGGAGGGGAGCAGATCACGAATGTGCACAGCACCGGTAGGTAAAGGCAATACAAGCAAATACACAAATTTAGTAGGGTTAGGAAGTTAGGGTTAGGGTAAATTACTTAGTTTATATAGACACCCCAAGTTCGGGTTTTCGGGCGGGTCGGGTAGGAATTTCTAATACCTACCCGTAACCCAATATCCTTAATAGTTGGGCTGGGCTGATTCGATTCGGATTTTCGGGTTCGGGTCAACCGACCCAGTTGGTTTAGTAACGGGCTACCCGATCGGGTTTTCGGGTGGGTTCGGGTTTTGCTCACCCCTAGGTACAAACCTGGCAACGCAGAGCTGTTTCAAGTGTGCAAGATTTTACACAAAGGTGTGTAAGCAGCTCAGACAGAGGACGTCAAAGCCCGTTTCATCAACAAAGATACAAAGTACGAGGGAGGGTTAGCTTCGTACTAAACCCACCTTTGAAGTCGAAGAAATCCAGGTCAACCCTGATGGATCGGAACAGAAGATCAATATCGTTGCAGGGCTCTTGACCAATCTTACAAGTTGAAGACCATGACGAAGAAGCATGTACATCAAGTGCAGAGCGCAGTTGACTTTGCCAAATACTAGGATACCTATGAGCGGAGCATCGCAGGCGTATAGATCAAGTGCGGAGCGCAGGGCACCTTGTCAAATCCTATGAACATAGCATCATAAGCTTTTAGATCAAGTGCGGAGCGCAGGGCACCTTGTCAGTTTCTATGAGCGGAGCAATGCAAGCTTGGAGATCAAGTGCGGAGCGCTGGGAACCTTCTCTATTCCTAAGAACGGAGTACTGCAAGCTCGTTGATGAAGAGTGGATTGCAGATCAGCTCTCTCACATTCTATGAGTCGATCATCACAAGTTGTAGGTCAAGTGCAGAACCAGAGCAACTCCTCAAGTTCTCAAATTCTTTCATTACTTAGAAAAAAAAGTATAAATTTCGTTTTTCAATCTTGAATTTGATGAGGTTTGACCACACTTGGATTAAATGGGCGGCAGCTAAAAACAGAGAGAGAAAAAAAAAGATGAAATAAAAAGAAAAAAAAAAGGAGTATGTATACATCACGCCCCGCTCTCGGTGTTTAGTCGACCACGACTCGGCCCTCGGGCAAGGAAATGATTGTTAGTCCAAAAAACAATCAACAATCATACAATATAATAGAAGCGGAGAATCACAGAATGATAGTGATATGTGTTGGTCCCTGTTTCAGAGATAATGATCTAACAACAATGATATAATAAACACAGTGATACAAACAAGGGATCAGATAATGATATGAAGAAGATGATTCGTGAAACCCTCGTTGATATACCGTGAACGATTATAGAATGATGAGCGCTAAGGCTAATAGTTCGAATGCAAAAGTTAACGCAAACATAAGCATTAACGCATATTTATATGCGCAGGCAGGTTTGCGTAAAGGCTTCCAGCCATGTATATGGGCCTGACACTTTGGCCCAATATCCTTTATACATTAATAAATACAAAGTGTAAATGCACAAGGTATAATAAAGGCTAAGCCATTACAAGACGTATGACAAACTTGATACACAGCAAAATATTCTCCAACGATGATCAAACTACTTTCTAAGTCTGTGGTTAGCTGCTCGGTCAGGGCAATTGTAAGACCGGCTTCCGGGTCGAAAAGGTATGCTAGAGGTCACGTCCTGAGCCTCTCTCGTACATTCGTTGTCTGGCATTGTTGTCTAAATAACTCGCATGCACGTATGATCCAATCAATGATGCGGCAACTATATGACCGGTCTCCGGACCGAAGGAATGTGAAAGGTCGTGCCCCGAGCCCTTTTCGTACATCCGTTGTCTGACATTGCTAGGCTTAGCAGCCCGCATACGCGCTTGACAGGATCAACGGTGCAGGTCCGTTCTGGTCTGATCATGCGGGGCCTTGCCCTTACGTTTGGCTGACTTTAGTTCGACTTTCAGAAAGGGAATAACCAAAATATCTCCTAAGTATGAAACTAGTTGTACAAGTCAAGGTGCTCTAAGACCGACCTTTGGGTCGAAAGTATGTGAGAGGTTGCACCTCGAGCCCCTCTCGTACATCCGTTGTCCATCGTTGGCCAAACAGCTTGCACAACTCGTTGGTCCTAGACCAACCGTGTCCGGGTCAGCCCCACCTTACCCAGCATGGCGCGGTCAAGGTGGACCTTGTTGACTTTCCGCCCCTCGCGGCCTAGGTGGGGAGCCAGATCCCCGATAAGTTCAGGCATAATGAAGAATAGTTCCAAGATCACGACCATCTTCTTTGTGACAACTTGGAAAACAGTCCCAAATCAGGCTCGTGAGTGACTCCATCTAGATCATCAGGAACCTCCGGGAAGTGTCTAGGAGACCAAGTATCGAGGTTGTAGTCGTCACCCACCTTCTCTAACTCATCAGGGTCAAACATGATCCCGGACGAACCAAACTTCTCAGGGTAAAATCCGGGAAGATGATATGTCAACCTATCATACCAAGCTTGGGCATGCTCCGATCATCTGCTCCATGGTAAGCCGTGTATACCTTCAAGGTAGCATGTGCTTTCTTTGCCCACTCTTGAGCTTAGACTACCTAGCGCTGGTTCGAAATTCAAACTAAATATGTGGTCATGACGAGGCCAATTATCATTACATCACCGTTCATTCTGAGTCACGCAAAGCTCATCTCCAACCCAAGTTCATGCAGGACTACCCCCAAGTCAAGTTCGTGTCAAGGAGTGAGATCGTCCATCCTTCCCAGACCACCAGCGATCGAGTAATGCTCACACAAGGATCGATGCATAACTTGGAAGACCAGATGCAATCACATGCCATCCTCGTCAACAACCGTTCATCAAGACAAAGTAAAGTGGAGGTCCCGCCAGGCTCGCTCTCCATGCTTTTCAGAGAGCATCGAGACGGCCTAGCATTTTGACCATCCTCAAATCACAGAAGATTAGGCCACTTTGGGCTCCCCATCACCCGAACAAGATCATGCAACCCTTCGACCACTAACATGTATGAGCAGAGCTGCAGCAGAACTCTCTCACTGTCTCAAAAAACTACAAGGAATGAGTCGCCCGAACATCGCTCTCTTGCCTTGCATCAAGGAGTCCTCCAAGCACCACTCTCAGTTTGGAAACTTACATCTCAATTAGGGAAGCTTGAAGGTTAAATGACATCGAGATTGTAATCTCAGACTTTGCTATGCACATCATCTTGTAGGCGTGTGTCGAACCTCAAGTTTGACAAACAACGCCATCATTCCCATTTCAAGACCGGTCAGATCCTCCTTCACTTGGGTGATGACCGCTGCTTTGGATTCATCATGAAAGGACTAAACGTTGTCATCCTGATTCTATGATCGGGCTCACCCACCGTTCTCCCGAATGACGACTATTTCTTCATCGCAAATCCGATCTCAACCACTCCTTTAGCAAATGACAAATCTTTGCAAATATCTTACATGCTTCGGATGGGATGCGAGGCGAGCCAGGCTTATGTTGGTCTGGTCATGTCTACTCATTTTTAGCTTCATGCTCTTACTCTTCTCGACAACATTATTCTTCGTGGAGCAGGGAAGGTGAGTGCTTCTCCCCAGCATCAGGCAAAGAAGCTATTAACATCTACCCGGCATTAGGTAGGGAAAGTGCATGCTTCTCCCCAGCATCGGTCAGAGAAGCTGGGCATCTCCCCGATATCAGGCGGAGAAACTCTTAGTGTCCCCCGGCATTAGGCAGAGAAGGTGTGTGCCTCTCCCTAGCATCGGGCAGAGAAGCTCTAAGCATCTCCATGGCATTACACTGGGAAGTTGCGTGCTTCTCCCCAGCATCAGACAGAAAAGTTGTGTGCTTCTCCCCGACATTAGATGGACTTGCATCAGATGTCAAAGGTCAAGCCTTGACATCCTTCGTCGCATCCAGGGCAGCAAATGCACCTCTCCAACCATCCATACCTACGAGGAAACGAAGGTCAGGGCAGGGCAGCAAGTGCACTTTCCGACCTACCATACCTATGAGGAAACAAAGGTCAGGGCAGCAAGTGCGCTTCTCTGACCAGCCATGCCTACGAGGAAACGAAGGTCAGGGCAGCAAGTGCGCTTCTCCGACCAGCCATACCTACGAGGAAACGAGCAGAGTAATCGACGATTCTGCCAGTTGGGATATCTCCCCTTACCCGGCCTAAGGATCAATTTATTACCTTTGTTCTTCTTGGAAAGTCGTTCTTCGCAAAGCAGGGAAGCTTCTCAATTTTCTCCAGCACCAGACGAAGAAACTCCGGGCTTCTTCCCTGCATGAGACAGACCTTCATCAGACGTCGAAGGCCGAGTCAGTAACAAGTAATAATAGCAAACAACAAGGACTACTTATCATGGCGGTCTACTCACTACATCCTCCCAAGAAGTGAAGGTCGGGTCCAAGACTATCGGCCCGTCACAAGTGGGATAATGGGCCGGGTCCAAGACTATCGGCCCGTTACACTCGAGCTTTAGCCTGACCAACCTCAAATTACAGTCCGGCTAGCGGATATTGCTCCGATATTATTTAATTACTTATTGGACTGGCTGGCCCATTAATGACAGTATTAGTTGATAAATCAGGCCAAGCCCATGTAACACTTAATTTGTGGGCATATTGTCTACGTCTATAAATACACCACCAACCCTTGTATTCTCCTAAGTTATTTTCACTATACTGAATTGTTGTCAGTTTCTCTACCATGGATATTTTCTACCAACAGTAATAAAAACACTTAAAAATATATCAATACCTTCTGAAGAAATCAGCATGCTACCATATTAAGGCCGAAGAAATCAGCCTATTAATGCTTCAGCAGGAAGAGTCGCGTCCTATACTAATATCACTAATATGATCCAAATTCTTCAATGGTTGAATGAGATTACTATATTTGGGTTGGAAAAATCATTTTACTACTACATTAAGGCCGAGAAACCCAGTCTACTTACCCCTACGGCCCTACTATAAAGATCCAACATCGAGCCTAATATTTTTCATTTTTGGTGGGCCTAGGGCCACCTCCCCTGCTGCACCCCCTTAGGGCCGCCACTATTGTGAGGCTTCGATGGACCGCAGCATGATAATCTTTGAACCGCAGCCTGCCCGGGCCCGACCCAGCCCAGTCAACTTCTAGTCTCTTCTGGTGATGCCACAGCCTCATTATTTAGTCTCGTTGATTAGGTTGGGATTAATTAGTTCTTTTAAGTTGTTTGTTTGACCTTAATGCTAAAATGCTTTGTGCAAAGTTACTTCTATTTTCTGAGCTTGTCATTTATTGATTTACTATTTGGAGTTTCATGTGGAGTATTGTATTCCTATTAAAAACATTTTCATTTAAACAAAAAGAGAGAGAATTTAGTGCACAATTGATTTAAAGTTTTCTAAAATGATGGGTAGTAGATGTTTTTCAAGAATTTTTCATATACAAAGATTATATCAGTGTCACCTCCATCAATTTTTTTGTGTACGTAAGCATTGATCAAGTAGAAAGAAAGATGACTGAACCATGTGTGAGATCGCCCATCGACCATGATGTCCATGTATCATTGGGAAAAATATTATAAGAGATGATTCCCTAAATAGGAGTACAAAAAATTTGAAATTTCAAAATAGGAGTATCATGTTTTTTATTCCTTGAATAGGAGTAAATTTCTGTCAAGTTTGGCATTACTAGACTTTAAAACATGGCATTTTTTTAAAACTTGGCAGATTACTTCTATTTTGAAATTTCAAAACGTTTTTGTTCCTATTTAGAGCAATTTGTAATAAAATAACTCTGGAGAATATTACAGAAAACAGCTTCACTATTCATTTTTTTATAGCAAAATGTGCTCAATGCATAACTCAACAAAATTTTCCTGTGCTGTTTTCACTATTTATCATTTCATCCTACATAAAAAGCTGCATCAAAACCAGTCAAATGCTCACATTAATACCCCTTCAACATTGTTAAGAGCCTTCTTGGCAATCTTAAATTTACCAGCCAAAGACTTCTTACCACCAGATAGAACATACTCTCTTATAAATATGACAATGCTCACATTAATACCCCTTCAACATTGTTAAGAGCCTTCTTGGCAATCTTAAATTTACCAGCCAAGGACTTCTTACCACCAGATAGAACATACTCTCTTATAAATATGACAATCCCGTTACAAAGGGTTTCGTGCTCTGGCGAAGCTAACCGACTGAAGATGTTCCATACAAGTTCATCTGAGAACTCGAAAATGGCCTCAAAAAGCATCCGGAAGTGCATAATCTTCTTAGGGGTTAATGATGTAATACCACCCAGATCGACAACCTTCAGGACAGAAAGAGAAAGGGTAAAAGAGGAAAGCATCTCCGCGATGAATTTAGAGAGGTGCATTGATCTCATCGGCTGCATCGACTCCAATTCCTTGAAATGGTCCCAAAGGCAATACTGCATTACAAAATAAATGTGTGACGACTATACGTCCTACATGAAAAATATTCAAGCGCGGGTTTGGTGGCCAGTTCGGGCTTATTCTGCTTATCAACGAAATGAACCGAATATGGTGCATAAGTAGCTCTTTTACTTGGCAATATGAAATATATTCAAGGGCCATTTGGTAGGCATATATCGGGCTCACTCTTCTTATCAGTAAAATTCACAGAATAAGCCGAATAACTAGCTTTTGACTTGCTTGGCTGAAAGTTGAAACACATGTTATCAAACAACTTTCCTTTAATAGAATTCACATCAAAGGAGCCCTCACCAAATGGCACCAAAATCTATATATGTTATCATTGTTCTCACCATACCTGCAGAGTGAACTTGTGGTTTTTATCGTGCCTGCATAACTTAGATGCTAATGCACAGTAATACTTATTGAATGCCTTCTCCTGCAAGCAGCACTCCACAAGAACACGCATGATCTCCCTATCCTGCACAGTAGAATGTTGAGAAGCTAAATCAGTTGGCTAAATGACAATGTTTAATTCACGAGTTGTTAGATTATCTTATGTAATAGGACCATTGCAGAATATGGTTTAGGGAAATAGGAGCTTACCTTAAAGGCCAGGTAAAATTAGACTACCGAGTTTATCCTTTATCACACATTCTATTACATGCGTTAATACTGGTACTTAAGGTAAACCGTAAACCTACATTCTGCGAACGAAATTCCCACCAAGTCGTTTGGTTCTCAGAATGTGATACTCCACTACCTAAGTTGCCAGATTGCCAAGGACAAAGGTAATCCTTAAAATAACTAGGAAAATAAAGGTAATGTTAGATTACCAAATCACCAGAACCAAAGAAGGTCTTGTTACTACATTACATAGGTATAAGGTAACATCGTAATGACCCAAACCAAACACCCCCATAAGGAAGAGGCAACAAATTGAGGAATCCTGACCTGCTTCCCAGGCAAGTCCAATCTCAAAAGCTTCTCAAATGCATCAATGTAATCCTCTCCGCTCATAATTACACAAAAAATTGCTCTCCTTCCTTCTGTGTTCATCCTCTGTTCAGCAGCAAGCTGTAGCATTTTTTTAGCCTCAAGAACCTCCATATCAATTGATTGTGCAACATCCTGAACATTCTTTTGATCGGAATTTACATTCACGTCCCCAGACAACCACCACTGACCCTTTTTATCTGGGTCGATAAGCTTGCACCACTTTAATCCCCGAAGTAGAATATCATCCACCCTCAGCTGTAAAATGATATGATATAAAAATGCAGGGGTTATATTTAAAAGTACAAATTATAAATTTATGGATGGAGTTCAGTCATTAACACATATACACAATGCCTTGACATAAGATATTGTACGGTTGCACCCATGAATAATTCTACATGTACATGTTTTAAGTACATTTATTGTCTAGATTTGAGGCTATTGTCTAGAGAATAACTTGGGGTTGATGAACTTAAAATGCTAAATGAAAGGAGTAGATCTGTTGGGTAAAAAACATAAAATAATGAGTTCAAAAATGCATGTTTACGTTTAAGAGATCTATTTGATTTTTGTACACATTAGTTGAGGGCAACTTTGGTAGAAGAAAACTACAACCAAATTATCGATGCACTGGAATGAAAAGCTATAAGCATTTTAGCTATTCACATCAACTAACTTTTTCAGCATCGCCAAACCAGCCCTTCATCCAAATGAGGCTAATGCTACCTTCAAGAGCTGCATCTGGAGAACTTCGGCCAATAGTGGACAAAACCGGCATGCCAAACATACAAAAGTATATGGGATTTTTAGAGCTAACTTCCCCAAAATGTCTAGAAACACTTTACCGACTCAAATTCCATATAAACACACACAATGTATTGGAGCAGGAAAGCAATGAGCATACAAGATTTTATCACAGCAAATCACAAAGTTCCCTATGAGGTCACACATGGATACCCAACACGAAAGAGAAGCACCGTAATAAAGTTGTAAACTAGAATTACAAAACTACGGCACCAATTCATTCTCTACACATCACAATGCACCATTTAATGATGAACCAAACAATTAAATATTAATCAAAATAATCAATTCAATATTTTTCACATTCAAATCTGACAAGTTGACTTTTTTAGCAGCATGCATGACATACTTTTGGGTAGCTGATACAATAAATAGATGCAGACCTTCTGTAGCCATTTTCTTATACGAGTAAGCTGCACAGTTTCCTCCTTGGGCCTCTTTTTGTTGTTTTTTATTTCACATATTGTTTGAACCATGAAATCCATCTACAGCAACGTGATTAAATACAGTTACTCATATAATACCTGAAAATATGTATTCCCTCGGAGAGGCAACATAAAATGCATGAAGAGAAGACGGAAAAGCATACCCTTTTGCTCTTAAGACTGGATTGTGCATCTTTAGATAAGATCTTCAATTCATTAACCCGGTTCTGAATGCTAGTTATAAAATTCTTCATAGCAATAGGATCATCCGCTCTCAATTTCATTCCACAAGCTGTTCAGCCACAAGTATGAACTGCTCAAAATTGCTTCTAGGCTAACTAGCCCGGTTGAATGTTTTTGCAAGGGATGAAGGGACAATTTCTTTCAATATATTTAAATTACATGGTTCCCCAATATCTTTTGGGACTAAGGCTTGGATGTTGTTGTTGTTGTATATTTAAATTACATGGTTAAAACTGACTTATGAGTATAACACTAAACATCCAGCGAGTATAAATATCAGAAGGAAATCTTACATTGTAGGACTGCTAAAATAGTAGCAACATCGGCTTCTGTCAATCTCGTACTCAGCATTACCAAGAAGTCGTATATTAAATCACTGGGAAAGCATGATAAGAGGAAGTCACGTTAAACACCATTGAAACATAAGACTAAAGCAATAGAAGGATTTATAGGATGCATCTACATGGATACCTGTGGGTGCAATGAAAGAAGATTCAAAAGTTCACCTACCTAGAGAAAACTCCAAATATATACAAGTATGAAAAAAGAAGAGTCAGATTCCGCAGTGACATGTTGTCCTCTTTCTGATACTCTTCCTATACAGAGAACACAAGAACTTACGACATAAGTTGATACATACATATTATATATGTGTGTGTGTATAATGCAAACATATCATGTGTGGTTGTGTGTCATGTGTGCATTATACAAAAGTGAGTTGGTATTTTTAAAAAAAAACGCACTAAATAAGAGTAAAATGTTTGTGAATTTCAAGATATGACTACTATGTTTTTATTCCCTAAATAGGAGTAATTAATTCCATGTTTTGGCATTACTGGGCTTTAAACATGGCAATATTTTCCAAACTTGGCAGTAATTACTTCTATTTAGGGGAAAAAACATAGTACTCGTTTTTAGATTCTAAAACGTATTTAGTCCTATTTTGGAATTTTCCCTATTTTTTAACAAATTTTGCTTTTTAAAGTGATTGCACTCTTATAGTAACTGATGTACTTATATTTTACACACTTTTTAGGCTTAGTTTGTTGATATTTTTAGTTATTAAAGTTGTACTTTTGTACATATTTTTATTATTTGTCGTTAATTTGTATTAGTGCGGTCCTATGCGTGTATTTTGTATTTTCAGGTACTTTTGATGTTTTTTGGATACATTTAGCGTGAAGAAATGAAGAAAATAAAAGTTCAAGTTAGAGGATAACAAAAGTGGAATTTCCTTCAAAGCAAATAAGGAGTAAAACGGAGAGAAGTAGCAAAAGTAATAAAAATGGAGGTGGGATTCGAACCCTGGTCAACAAGGCAAGGAAGAACGTACTCAACCAGTGAGCTAAATGAAACAAGTTGAAGCGTTTTGTTGGAAATTGGTATACATTGCTTCAGGCCCAGCACTTAAAAGATGAATAAAAGGAAGAGGCCGGGTTTTGAACCCGCGACCTCGGGCGTCCCTATAACACTCTGTAACCGCTGGGCTGCTGCACAATGTTGGAACGTTACTGCGCTTTTCTGTACATAAACTTATTTGTTTCGTAAATTCCAGAAATTAATCATTAATCACCTTATCATTATGTTGCCTTAATCCATCTTCCTCCACACATAACTTCGAACCAACCTCTCTAAACATCCCAGAAACATTTCCTCTCCCTTCTCTCTTCATTTCTCAATCCCAAATCATCAACCCATCTTCAACCACAATTAATCACTACTCATTCAAGATTAAGTCAAGATTAGCATCAAAGCTCCAAGGATTGTCATCTACCACAAGTTTGATCTTCCTTATCTCATTAAATCTTGTACTTTAATCATGGATTCATCTATTTCTATGCTTCCCAACATGTATAGCTAAATAAATTTGGGGCTAGAAATTGGTTAATTAATTGTTCTTAGCATGTTTTAATTTGTATTGATTATAACTGTTAAGTTTGTTCTATTTAGATTGTTGTGTCCAGAAAATTAATTATGTTGTGTTTGTGATATATATTATGAGTACTCAATCATAAACATATTGTTTGTTAAAAACACAAATGAACACTTTCTGAACACACCGTTAAACTTTTTTTACCTTGTCCCGGATTGAAGTTTTACGGGAGAATTTAATTATTTAATTATATTATTTACACCATGGGGTTGGGTAAATAATATAGTTAATAATTAATGTTGTAGTTGCACTTAAACAACTAGTCTCGTTTTGGCCATCACTGTGAAATGTTGACTAGTTACTTATTTTAGGTGACTTGTGTTGGGTCCTAAAATATTTATCTACAATTTCTCACAATCTATCTAAGAATAAAATTAGCAATTATGTCTTTCAAATGAGCATTGAACAATTAGTTACCAATTTCTACCCCTACTTGCTATTGGTTGAACTTTGTGTTGATAAAAATCTCTTCTCTCAATCACTTTTATTTAATTACTTTTTCAAACAAACAAAAAAAAAGAAACGCATTCCCAACTTTAATCCTTAGTTTGTGCTTAATTATTTTATTTCCCGCTTCTCTGTGGTTCGACACCCTACTTCCTTGGGTAAAAAATAGTTGTGTGCTCATTATATGCTACACACCAGTAACCATACTATACATAAACCATTCAAAAAGTAAAATTTGAAAGACTGAAACATGTGCCAATGTGTCACGCACCTCAAAATGTTTTGCCAGAGAAGCTAGAACCTTAGCACTGAAGTCAATACCAATTGAGCAAGACATCCCAGCAACAAAAGCCGCAAAAACGGCTGCATATCTGTCAATATCAAGTAACGGTTACATTTTTTAAATCACGAAGTCAACTCTCAACCTAATAACCAAACATCTAATCATAGTGATCCGAATCACTCTGGTTCTTCATTCCTTCCATCAATGCATTAGGAAATTCTGTAGATCAAATTGGTCACTAAGGAGATCGTAAGTCAATATCTACATTTTACTTCAACTTAGAGCACAAAATAAGGCAATCAAGTTATGTGAGCCATTACGCATGCGCACATGGCACATGATGATGAGTACATCTAATATGAACCAGATTTAAAGAGAGAATTAAAAGTAAGTGCATTATATATGAAAGTGTTAGGGACCCGGTAGAATAAGAGTAAATAAGAAGAGTAATAGCTAGAGTAGTATAAATAGAAGGGGAGTTGGTAATAAAGGGAGGCTGTTTTAGACTGCTGTCTTGTACTGGGAAGTTAGAGACTAATACTCTCTCTCTCTTTGGGGGCTTCGGCCATTGGGGGCTTCGGCCATTGATACTTATTCTTCTTCAATAAAGCTTCTTGAATTGTTTTCTTTGAATTCTGTTCTTCTTTCTATGAAATTACTGTGTACCTGGAGGTATCTCTAACAGTGGTATCAAGACTAATACTCTCTCTCTTTGGGGGCTTCAGCCATTGGGGGCTTCATCCATTGATACTTGTTCTTCTTCAATAAAGCTTCTTGAATTGTTTTCTTTGAATTCTGTTCTTTCTATGAAATTACTGTGTACCTGGAGGTATCTCTAACAGTGGTATCAGAGCACGTTGATCTGTGGAAGATCTTTACAAGTGCGAAAAAATGGAAGGAAGATTAAATGAACTGGAGCGACACCAACAAGAAACAGCGGCAAGCACTGCGGCGACCTTAGCTGAGTTACGAACAAGCATCGCGAATATAGAGAGGAGGATACAGAATCGTTCGCAAAGTAGGTCGCATGCATCATCCGCGTCGCATAGCACTTCTAATCATCGACACACGTGAAACTCGGATAGTTCAGATGATTCGGAAGAGCAGAGACTTCGCAGAATACCTGAAGATCGATCGAGGAACAGTAGGCATAATCCGCTATCGCAGACGGAGTTGCAGACGAAATCACGAACTTCTTCTCTAAGTTCGCAATCACGAACTCCTTCTCAGACTTCATCAACGGCCATCAGTTCGTGCCCAAGACAGACGCGATTGAGTGGAGAATCTTCCTCACCAAAGGATTTTCACTGTTTGTTTTCTTCGTCTAAAATAGCTTCTCAGAATTCAGCTAGTTCTAAGACGGAGGAATTACCGCTATTCAACGGGGATGGAGTAAACGATTGGATAGATAGGATGGAAAGATACTTCCGAGTCAAAGCTATTGCAGAAAAAATTAAGGTTGACGTCGCAGCTGAGGCTATGGAGGAAAGGGCGTTTGGATGGTTTCAATGGTGGGAATCTCAAACGAGAGAAGATAGTTGGAAAGCTCTAAAGGAAGCAGCGATTAGGCGTTTTCCACCTAAACGCCGGCAGAAGACAGGGAAGACAGAAAGCCAAGAATCATCGAGGTCGTGAAGAACTTCTTCCAATTCGCAATCCTCTACGCGAACTACTGTTACTCCATGTTCGAAATCAAGTACCTCATTGCCCAGCTCGCTAATTGCTCATCATCCTCGATCGTCATCAGGAGGAATGTCTACTGGTTCGCAGAATTCAGTCCAAGCAGTGACTCTCAATGCGCTACTTTCAGCATAGTGATAGAGAGCGGGAAGAGCATGGGGCGGGACTGGGCTTGGGCTCACTTCCGTGGGCCGAGTTAGGGCTGTCGTTATAGTTTAATTATTATTATTAAGTTAATGTTATGTTTTAGTTTGGGCCTATTATTAGTAGAGTAGTTAGTTGAGTTAATTTGGGCTTAATTAAGGTTTAATTAATATGGGCTTGATTAGGGTTTCTTGTAGAAGGCTATTTATACCCCTCGCCAGGGTTCATTCTTATTATCTGGGAATAAAGTTAGAGTTTAGCCTTTGGGCTTTGGGGAACGGTATTTTTATCGTTGATTATCTGGGCAACGGTTTACCCCGTTGATTTTTATTTTTCTGTTACATATCAATTGGTCCGACCTGCCGGATCTCGTCCTGCCGGAATGACGAGATCAACCAACGAGCGTTTATCAGAATTGGAGGCTGAACAGACCTTAATCAATCAAAAACTTGACACGCAAGGACAGAAACTTGATCTGCAGGGACAGAAACTTGACACACAAGGTCAGAAAGTGGAAGAGCAGGCCGCCCAGCTTGCGGAAATCGCAGCCTCTCTTGCAGCAATCGCGAACGCCATGGTGCCGCCGCAGAAATCTCCCATCGCGACCGTCGAGAGCGACTCCTCCGGCCACATCGCATCTGTCTTCTCCGATGATGGCGGACTGCGCACCGCAGCCACAACGCTACTTCCCTCGTTCGATGGCGAAGACCCAATTAGGTGGTTGGCGAGAGTGGAGCAGCAGTTCGAGCTCAACAGGACCCCACCAGACAGACAAGTTGCAGCGGCTAGGGTTTCTATGGAAGGGGCTGCCCTCTATTGGGTGACGTGGTTAAAGGCGCGCAAACCTGGTATATCTTGGGAGGAATTTAAGCAAGCCTTGGTGGCCAGATTTGATTCCTGATATCAGGGAAACAGGTTTGAACGGCTGTCCGGCGTCAAACAAATTGGGTCGGTGGAGGAATACAATACCTTGTTCGTTCAATTGGCTAGCCAAGTTCCGGGATTGACCGACGATCATTATTTGGGCTACTACATGAGTGGACTTGGGGAAGCAATCCGAAGTTCGCTGCGCTTATTACGGCCAGAAAACCTGGAGACAGCCATGGAACTAGCTCGCGGTGTGGAGCATAATCTGTCCGTCCAAAGTGGAGGAAGTGGCAGCCCGAATTATAATTCTGCAAGGGTACGTTCCAGCAGCTTTTTAATGGCAAACACGGGTCCTCCGTTGACTGCCAGTGGTGGCAGCTTGCAGGGATCAAGGGGCAGCTTTGCGAAGGATAGTGGACAGCCTCCGGGGAATAAAGTTAGAGTTTAGCCTTTTTGCTTTGGGCAACGATATTTTTATCGTTGATTATCTGGGCAACGGTTTACCCCGTTGATTTTATTTTTCTGTTACATATCACATACAACAGGAGAAGGATCTCCTGGGGAACCACAGCTGGACATGAACATTGAATTGAAGTCGTCTGCACTTTCAGTTCAACAATTGGGAACGAATGATGATATTCTGGAAAGGGCAGAAAGCGTTGAGTCATCTAATAAGCTGAAAGATTCCGAAGAGCACAGATCAAATAACCTTACCTATGAAATTCGAAGGTATGTTAGTGGTCTTGACCCATACCCAAAATATCTTAAATATGTGATGGGTAGCGCTCATGAACTGGAGTTGGGTGTCCCAATAGATGGTGTGCACCATTCTTCTTCAAAGGGGATGTTGGAAGGGATGAAGCAGATTGAGGGTTTCAAAAGTGATGATGAGAATTCTAGGAAATATGTTTGAAAGGAGTTGGGAGTGGGATTGACTGAGAATGAAACAGGAAATGTAAGGGGAATACCAGTGGAAAGCTTAATTGTTTCCGATAGGGGTGTAGTTTGTGACTATCGGTTTCAGATAGCTATTGCAGGTAAAGAGGTCAGGGCTACAGATGACAAGAAATATGATACGTTGGGGGTAGTTTACATTGCACTTCTTGTTATTGATCCTAGGTGGGGAAGTGATAATGGAAATCCAGTTTTTGTGACTACCCAACTAAGAGGCTCTTCCAACTGTTTGACTAAAGACGAGAATGATTGTAAGTCATGCGGCCCAAAAGGCAAAGAATATATTGCAGAGTCTTCTTATACCAGAATTGTTTATCCATAGTGGAAACTGCAGCAGGTTCTGCACCTTTCATGTTACTGTTTGCACCTATCAGTTCTGGGTCACATGATTCTTATTGGAAAGCTTCCGTTAATACCTCTGCAATTGTTCCTTCTGTTCTTATCAGTCCCAATAAATACATGACAGAGGATACAAATTCAAGGAGTGAAACAACTGAAATTCAAGGGTTGAGTTATATCCTGAAGCAAGAGACATTAGCAAATGGAAGATTGAGCATTTGGTGATTAGTAAAGCCCAGTTCCAGCATAAACAAAGCCACCCAAGGGGTAATTCTGCTGTGAAGTGCATGTTGAAGACGATTAAAGTAATCAAATTAAAGAACCAGAAATCAGTAAAATATTGGGAAGGGAGAGGCACAAAGTGGAAGAAAAAACAGAGAATCTTGGCTGTTTCCTATCACCCACCTTGAGGGCAAGGTGGATGTTTAGGGGGGGAGATATGTTAGGGAGCCGGTAGAATAAGAGTAAATAAGAAGAGTAATAGCTAGAGTAGTATAAATAGAAGGGGAGTGGGTAATAAAGGGAGGCTGTTTTAGACTGCTGTCTTGTACTGGGAAGTTAGAGACTAATACTATCTCTCTTTGGGGGCTTCGGCCATTGGAGGCTTCGGCAATTGATACTTGTTCTTCTTCAATAAAACTTCTTGAATTGTTTTCTTTGAATTCTGTTCTTCTTTCTATGAAATTACTGTGTACCTGGAGGTATCTCTAACAGAAAGACTTCACCCTTCTAGCAGCTATTTGTTTGTTTTTTTTTGAAGTTAGACTCATCAAATTATATTATAGCCTCCGAAGTAGAATAGCTATGATGTGTCACCTTTTGAATGAAGTGTGTTGCATGAAAAAATACAGACTCCTCCTAGTTTTATACATAGTATAATATTCAATTTTGTCGTATGTTAGCTTCCGGGTTGGTAGCAATTGGTAGCTATCGGTTACCAGGTCTTCAAATCCTAATTTCTCAAAAGTCTTATGGTTAAGATAAATTATTGAGTTTCTTCATAATGAATAGATAAACAAAGAAAACAGAAAATTATTAAACAGGCAAATGTTAAAGTAGAATAAAAAAGATGCACCGACCAAGAAAACTTTTCTGTGAAAAAATAAATGTATGCAACCAGAGAGATAATCTCTAAAGTCTAAAGACAATAAAAAATAGGAAAACCTCAGCGAGTAGGACTCTTAACTGTTCATTTGCACGTGGACCTCCAGAACATGAAGTCAAAACCTCTTCAGAAATAATCAATGAACCAAGAGAGCGACCAACTGTCTGCAGGTTAGGGACATGAAAAAGTTCAGTTGCTAGCCTGAAATTTCTAAAAATGATGAAATGCCAAGCCACATGGAAGAAATGAGCTATGAACTATATTCATCTTTATGGTACATCCCACACAATATCACTCTTCTGAGATCCATTCACTCAAATACAGTATCATCTTGATCTTTGGGCACACTATTCATTTTCATTTTCATTTACCCCAGTGCCGCAAAGGCTCCCACCTACGGTGGGGTAAGGGGGGGTCGGATGTACGCAGTCTTACCCCTGTACTAAAGCACAGAGAGACTGTTTCCGAATGACCCATAGTGAAAATCCCGTCCAAAATTGCATGGACTGACGGCTGCTTCATAACAAAGAAGCGCAGACAGTTTAGTGAGCCATTTTGGGCACACTATAATGAATTAAAATAGTTCTATATAAAACCTAATTGTAAAGAATTAGGGCCTGATCAATATGATGGCTAATAAATTACATGAATGATTGTAGACATTTCACTTGTGATTGATTCCACATTTGATTCAGATAGCCTATTCAAGAGGCCTGCAAGAAGATGAGCTCACAAATTAACAGCAGTAATAAATTTGTACCGAGCAGAATCACAAAAACATTATTCCTAAAACCCCATACCTCGGACTTGTCTACGAATTTGAGCGTTCTCCTGTGATTCACTTCCCATTTTAGACCTTCTGTGTGGAGCAATATATGCTGCATTTCCTCCAATAGCAGATTGAGCAGAAAGTTTTCCAGGTTCCGCACCAATACCAGAAGTTGGTGGTAGGGAAGATGCTTTGTCAGTTAGCTTTACGGATCGTTGATCCTGCTTGTGCTCTCCTTCTATGACCTGTTTTTGTTTGATTAACTTGACGCTTTTTGATTTTATATGCAACATTTTGTCTGGGGTCTTTAAAGCACCTTTTTCTGCAGTTTTGAGTTTTTCATCCTCAATCAATTCAAGAACAGATGGCATGTCATCAAATAACATGTTAAACCCATCATCATCTCCTTTTAGTTTCCCTTTCTTCACCTTGAGCTTCTTTGCAAGCTTCTTCTCCAAAGCAAGATCCTCATCCGCTGGAATTGCACCATTTTCTGAATCAAGCAACTCTTCAAGCCTTGATTTTTTTCTTTTTCTCTTGGTCGACTCTTTTGATCCAACAACTTCATATGTCTTATTAGTAGAGTTGTTGCAACTAGCAGACAGAGAATTTGCATCCACTACATTCTCATCAGACGATTGCTTTTTCATGTCTACCTTGCCTGAAGTGTGACTCTTTATAGCCATAGGAGAATCTTGTAATTCACCAGCTGCATTAATATCACCATCACTCCCCAATTCGGCACCCTTAATTCTTGGTTTCCTTTCAACTGTTATTTTTGAAAACATATTATCTTTTTCATGCCTGTGAATGCCATGGTCTGGTTCACTATCAGACTCCTGGAGCAAATCCATACTGTTCTTTGGGACTACCATCCCCTGTTCTGTCTTGTCATGCTTCAATGATTTCTGTAATTTAATTAATTAGAGAATTATTAAAAAACTAAAAGCTAATGGTATAACTAACAAATTTTTCATTTAAGGAGCTGCTACAAATTGACTCTTCATAAACCAATGTATTTTTTGAACCAGCGCAAGGGCGTCGATTCTACTCTAATGTGTATCTTACTTGATGATATTGGATCCACCAATCAAATTTCTTCTTTTTCTTTGATAACCGAGCTTCCTTCCTGCGTTCTCTTCGAGATTGATTGTCTTCATTGGCTAAAAAGGTCCAGAAGAAAAGCAACCTCAAATCAGTTACCAGACAAAATGCAATAGAGTATTTGCTCCTTTTGTATGTAGTAAATTAGTTAGGAGAACCTTACCCATACTCTACTATCTGCTTGCGACTAATACAACCTGTAAAATTAAATAAATGAATAAATAAATTAGTAAGACTGCAAATGTAAAATTATGAGTAAAAAAGTCCGCATTATCACAATGCCGTCAAAACGTTTAGTTTTGGTCAAGCAATATAACACAACTCTAAACTTCATATCCTCCTCAACAGAGAGTAATGATATGTTTGAACTTTGAATTACCAATCCAAACTTTAGAATTCTAAAGGAATCCCTATTCCCTAATACAATTCCACAAATTTATACTGTCGTGGAATCTGCTAAAGAACCCTTATCTTCATTGCTCATCTTTATACCTGAGCGTACCTGAGGGCTCGGCTTGCATAATGGTGGTACAACAGACTTAATGGGCTAGTTTGCCAATCAATGTTGGAAAGTGTGTATTATGTAGTTGAGGTGGTTCGCAAGGATTTTATAAACCTCATTGCGCAATGAGGCATACACTGCCTCGGTTTTAAATACATATTTTTATATAAACAATTACAAATAATATTAAAAACAACTTAAACATTATAATTAAATATTCATTTTAACTCAACTAGATTCATAGTCAAAATGAGCAAGGTAGAAAAACAAAAATAACCTTGAGTTATATGTCGGATAACAACTATACCCTCAACTTTCTTTGAAAATAATTAAATACAACTATTGTATAATTGGAGGAGGATGGCACATTATGGCGGATTGCCAAAAGCCGCCATACGGATTGTGTTGAGACAAATGGAAGCGTCATAACGGAATAGATAAAAGTATTACATATGTAGTAATTACATTTAAATATCATACTAAGGGTAAGCAGTGAAATAACAACTGGGATTCTAGTAACATCAACAAAATTAGCGCTAAAATGAGGTACTAAGATAAAGAGTAAGGAAGTATATAAGCTAAAAAGAGAGGTGCTAAAATCACACTTGAAAGGCAGACTAGGCAGTATTTCAGTTAGAAGCTAATTGTGATGTGCCAACATCCTGAGCAGTAGCCTATATATATGTGCACACATTGCGTAAAGCAAAACTAGTTTTCATAATGTAGTGGGATGAGATCCTCAAGTGAGTTGTGTACCCAAGCCATCATATATAGGAGATTATGCCTTGATATCTGCAAAAAAAATGGACACACACATCTGCGACCTCTACTTTTTCTATTGAGTTCAACGTACTAATGTTTATTGTGTTCTCTCATTTTTAATTCGACATAATATCAATCTTTTTAATTCGACATAATATCGATCTTTCTGATCTAGTTTGATTTATCCTGCCTGTTGTGTTATCTCATTTTTGTTAATGTTATTAAAGGGCAGCCTGGTGCATGAAGACATCCTCACAAGGTGATGATCCATGGAAGGGTCCCACCACAAGGGTATATAAGGGGCAAGCCTTCCCCAGTCAAATTTTAACAATAGGCCCCTCTAGTTTTTGTTAATGTTATTATTACTAATTACTATTAACTTTATCAACTCTATTTAGCCCACCCTATATTCAATCTGCCCACAAAGAAATCATCCCTTAGACTTGCACACATACTCTGTATTTACCTAAGATAAAGTTTGATTTTGACTTTCTACATTTACTCTTAATTTATGTAAAATCATTCAAAAAAGGCAAAAGATAGACAAAAAGTAAGAGTAGTTGTGAGTTTGTGACATTTTCGATAAAAAGGATTTCTTTTTATAAACATCAGAACTTTATTTTGGGACATCAAAAAAAGAAAAATATGAACTTTGGACAGATGGAGTATTGTGTAAGGCTGTAGCTCCAGTAAGCCTCACATTCGACTCATTGTGAGACGTAAGACTCGGCCCCACATGCATAGCCAGGACAGAGTTTAAGGGAAGGCGGTTCTAAACTAAAAAACTATGTAAAAAAATTAAACAAGTAAAGTTTGAACATAATGGTTAAAATTCAATAAAAAAAATAACTAAATACAACATATGAAACTAAGACTGAGCACGGTGCTCATTGAACCAAGTAGGTTGAAAATTATGCATCTTATCTTTATATTCTAGGCCTTTGTAAAAGTTGAGTTTCGGATGATAAGGTCCAAGCATCAAATAAGATTGTTTGATTCCATCTCATTTATCTAACAGCCAATGACTTACTTTTTTCTATTTTCTTGGAACCCGCTCAATTTCAAGCACATCAGAAACTAACTCCTCTTGAACGGGTGAAGTATATGCAGTTTCAATCAACTCATTTAACTCTTGTCTGCTTTCTGTACTTGTAGTATGCTTAAAAAAGAATGCAATGTTGTTTCTGCCTTTTTAGAAGTAGATTGGGTAGCCATAAGGCCATACCTAATTAAATTGACAAAAACTAATAAAATAATCATACGGAATACATTATTTTCAATCACATAATTCATATTAATAGGTTAATATGTTAAGAAATTCACAAAACTAATTATTCACCAACTGTAGAAGAAATTCAGATTTTACCTATTTTCAAATTCGTATAAGTAAAACAGCCAAACATTCAATCAGAACATTCAAGAATCAAGATTTCAAGCTATTGGCTACTTAAATTAAAATTTAAAAAAAAATAAAAATAAACACTTATTAGTTATGACTTGCCTGCTGCCTGGGGCGATTAGCATAAGGCAGACAGAGCACCCAGAAGCAGAGAAGTGAGAAGCAGACTACCAGGAAGCGGCGGCAAGCGGCAGTCGGAGGGCGGGCGGCGGGTGTGGACTCTCTGGCGTCTCTGCGACTGCGACCTTGCGTCTTTGCTACTCGCCGAAGTGCCGAAAGGTATGAACTTAAAAGTAACCAATTAAAAAGTATCCCGAAAGATACATTAATTATAATTGGGGACCTCAAATATACATGAAATGTATTGGTATAGGATCCGAATGATGGAAAATTTTCAATTTAGGACTTTAATGATTGGAAGTTATCAATTTAGGACCTAAGTTGTCTGAAATTTTATTAATTTTTTTATCTTAAAATTTTTAAATATTATTTAATTTTATGAAACTAATAAACTTTTGTGAAGAAAAGTTTATCAAAAATTAGCAATGGAATTAATAAAAATTAAATAAATCAAAACCAATGAAATATTACATCCTAGATTGATAGTTTTTCATCATTCGGATCTTATACCGATAGATTTCATCTTTCAAGACCCGGATTGATAATTCATCTATTTTTCGGATCCTGAGTTGATAAAATTCCAAAGTTTTAATAAAAACTAGCTAATGTAAGTGAACTTATGTTCATGCTTTATATATTACTCTCTTTTCCCTTAACTTTGTCCACTTTTACTTTTTTTGTTTGTCTTATACTATATTTGAAAATATTTTGATGAATAATTCATTCTTACTTTATTCACATTTTATCAATTCAATATCAATCATATAATTCCACTTTTTCTTAAAAGTTGTGTCACACCCTCTTGTCTCAAACATAGTGGGACGGGTGTAGTATTTAGAAACAAATAAGGTGAACCTAGATTAATCTAATAAATTTTGTTTGGATGAAGATACTCTAATTTCATTATATGCGAGAACTTAACCTCCAAAACTCTCTACTCTGGAGGTTCTTAAATTTTAGATTTTTCCAGGTTGTCAGGAGTTATGTGAAGCTAACCCAAATTTATTAATAACATAGGTTCTTGTTGCAAAAATACAAACAAATGCGGTTAGCTAAAAATTGAACATGCAATAATCTAGGTTAACCCCAAACAAACAAGTCAATAGGAATTGGATAGGAATTAGGCAATGTGCTGGTACTGGGCTACTAGGTCACTATTCTTTCTGACCAGATATTTTTGTAGCCATATTTTATCCTACGATTATTTTAAATTGATTTTGAATCTGCTTCTTTTATTTACTTTTTTATCAAATCAAATTGTTTTTAGGGAAAAAAAATTATTAATGACAAACCAAAAAAATATATGGAGGGAAATAAAAAAGGACAACAAGAGTACGAGAAAAATGCCCAACCCGAAGTACCCAACAAAATCCCTCCCATGAAACCCTAAGATTCATTCAAGTAGTCAACATTCCACTCGTGTTTGGGATCTAGTCCGCATAGTATGTGATCGTTGTTGCTTTTTCCTGTATATCTTCATTTGAGTGTTCAAATTCTCCGTGAGCAGATAATTATCTCTGGTAACTAACAAAGCTTTGTTATTGATATATTGATTCGTATCGGAGTCCCAAAGATCTTCTCTCAATGAGATTTGTGTTCTCTTCCCACTCTCTGATGCATGGCCTAGAAAATCATCCCCTGAGTGTGTAATGAATTGCTCTTCAAAACTCCCTCATTGTCAAAAGCTTCAGAAATTTGATGACCGGAAAAAATATCCCTCAAGTGTCCAACATCTGAAGATATACAATTAGTAGCTTTCTCTTTGCCAGTTGATCTCTTCTCCAAGTTGTTGTGGTTATCGAAAGAGGATGCAAGGATTCTTTCGAACTCTTGGATTAAAAATTTAGAAAGTGAGTCCACCCCTTGAGACATGGTGACTTGAAAGAAATCCTCAATATGTGTTAATGAGGAGTCAATTCCAGGTTTAGGCCGTAAATCTTCAACAGAATTCAACAACGAAGATTGGTGAGAATGTTCAATGTCAACCTGTAAAAGGGTTCCAGAGATTGAAAGCTCATTTTGCTGGAGTAGATCCCTAGAGAGGGTAGCAAGATCCCACTCAAAATTACAACTTTTTCTTGAAACCCGTTCAAGTAGCAAAGATGGTTGTTTGACTTCGATTGCTTTCATCAAAGTAAGCGCTCTAACAATCCTTGCGAGAAAGAGTTTAGTCCCTTGTCCATTTCTTCCCACAGGAACAAATAAAGAGTCGTCATTCTTCTCAATGATGCGGAAGAAACCAACAAAGCAATTAGCATCATGGAGGATGGAAAGTGAATTTTTCATCTCAAATTTGGTGCAAGACCAATTATCAGATAGGAGTTTGGTAATGGAATCTCTTAGCCAAGTGATTTTATCAATATCAAGCTCAACAGCAGAAGAAATTCCATATTTTGATTCCGAAATACTAATAGTATTGCATTCAACAATATGGAAACAAAAAGATTTGCTTTCAATATTGATTTTAAGCCCAATTGCTGTTTGGAGAAAAGGATCTGCTTCTTTTATAAAATTAGAAATATCAGAATCAATTTTCTAGAGATTGGTCTCTTCAAACTTCTCAAAAACTACTTCTATGAGCAATTTGGAATACTTAGAACTATTTATGCACCATCGCCCAAACAATTCAATTTTCTGTTTATGCACTATTTATGCACTATAAACATATTTAAGAAGCAAGTTCAAACACCACTTAAGTCTCATTTTTTATCCTCTTCCTTTGAAAGTCTCATTTTTTGGGGCACGCCTATTATATTTCAGACGATTTTAGTCCTCCAGTCATTTAGCCGGTCAAAATCATCAGAAGTTTTTCATTTTCTTTCGCTCATTTAAGGTACTTATCTTGAGGAACATTTTTGTCTTTAAATATGTAATAGAATTTGAGTAAATACCACGCTCCTCAAGAAGGAAAGCACCTAATTTTTTAGCTTTGAAGCATAATTCCAACAATAAAAATGATGAATCATCTTCCATTAGGAAATGAAACTGGTATGTACTTGAATAATAAAAACCTAATTTTTTAATTGTAAATCTTCTATAAATATGTGTTTAAATAAATTAAATAAGGGGCGTAGCCAGGACCGATGTTTACCTTGGACCCTAGTTAGTTTTTTTCCGTTTTAAACGCATACCATTTTTTTGACCAAAAAAACACGTTTAAAACGAAAAATTATGTTGGTCCGTTTAAAAAGGAAAAAAAATCCTACTTCCCGTATTAAACGTATTTTTCCCGTATTTTACTAAAAATAGAAACATGAATTGATCAACTGAATGAATGCATTAAATGCATATGAGATCAACAATAGTGTAAAACCAAAAGAGAAAAGCTCCTCTTTGTGACCCCATGTTTTTGTATTGTTACAATACAATTATTAAATACTAAAATTAATTGCATGATGGCTTAAGCTTGCATCCCTTAATTTACAAAAAATAAAAACATGAATTGATGAATTGAATGAACACATTAAATGAATATATAGGGGATCAACAATAATTTAAAAGAAAAAAGAAAAGCTTATCCATGTGACCTCATGTTTTTGTATTGCTAATATAATAGGTTGAGGTTTAGTTAATTAAACTACACTTCTAATTTTTCTAAAATTGTACTAGTCATATTTTAATATAAAAGGCACATTTTAAATATATTATAATACTCCCTTAGTCCCTTAAAACTTTGTCATCTTTCCTTTTTGGGACGTCCCAAAAAACTTTGTCACTTTCCCTTTTAATCAATTATTTTGGGGTTCTGTTATTTCTCTCTCTTCTGCACAAACCTCAACCACACAGTTTTTACTTTATTATTCTCCGTGCCGGTCAACTTTGGCAAAGTTTAAAGGGACGGAGGTAGTATTAGTTACATTCTCATATCTTACATTTTAAAAGGCACATATTTGTTAGAATTTAATATTTCTTACATTTTTAAGATGGAACGTGTTAGACATTTTGTAGATATGGGTAACTTCCACCGCAACCGAAAAAAGGAGATTGCGAGGAATCATCCTAGTTCACGCAAAGGTAAAGGATAGACCGAGTCTTCTTCTCAAAGCCGAGATGATTTTGAAACGGATTACCAACGGAGAGATGCGGATGTGATGACTGACGAGCAATTAACTCAACTATTGGGCCAACAAGATGGACGCTTTTACCAACAGCGTGACATCCCTACCAATTGACGAAGAGCTCGATGATGAGGATGCGGAGGAGGGGGTCCGGCGATGACTGAGGACGAGGGTCACAACACCCCGAACGATGAGGAAGAGGTCGAGGCCGAGGACGGGGCTATTTCATCCCAACCAGGTAAGAATGGCAAATATTTAGTTATGGAAAATAATTTTAAAAAGACGAAATACCCAAAAATCGAGAAATGGTACGCAAGTTGCAACCATTGCGATAAAGTTTATAGCTTGGGAATTTCCGGAGGATACGGTAGTTGCAAAAGGCATCTCATGGACCGTCACCCCGTGGAGTATGCAAAAATAGACAAAGGCAAGGGGAAGCAAACTCAAATATCGAGGTTTGCAACTGGCCAACTCTTTGGTAATTTCTCCTATGATGACAAAAAAACATTTGACTGGTATGTTTCGCTTAATTGTTGAAGAATTACCTTTTATTTTTTCTGAAAGTCTTGTTTTAAAAGAATATGCTCAAGGTACTTTAAATCCTAAATTTCGAAAATATAGTCGCAGAACGATTAAAAAAGAAATTATAAGGCAATATGTTTTGGAAAAGGAAAAATTACAAATGTTTTTCGCAAACTTTGATGAACGTGTTAGTATTTGTAGTGATATATGGGAGGATACTCATCATCATTTATATTATTTGGGTGTGACCGCACATTATATTAATGATGATTTGGAAATGCATAAACGTGTTCTTGCTTTTCGTGAATTTAATGATCGACACACCGCTGATAATATTTATATTCTCATTGAGCATATTTTAATTGAGTATAATTTGATTGATAAGGTGTTTACTATGGGTTTTGATAATGCTAGTAATAATACTGCTGCTATACCTAGATTGCGTGAATTGTGCGGTTCTTCTAATTTGATGTGTAGGTTTTTTCATCAGCATTGTGCATGTCATATTCTAAATTTATGTGTAAAAGATGGGCTAGCCGCGTTGGGAGATGCTATGGAGATAGTGAAGGGGAGATTAAACTTATTTGGGCTAGTAATCAACTTAAGGAGCAATGGCGTAAATATTTGAGAGAAAGACGTGTCAAATATTGTGCTATTGCTAAAGACTTGTCTATTCGTTGGAATAGTACTTATAACTTAATTGTTGTACTTATTAGATTTAAAGACCATTTTCCTACTTTTTAAAAAGAATATGCTAACTATATTATAAACTCGGCTGGCATCGACACAATGCAAAAAATTGTGAATGTTTTGGTATTTTTTAATAATGCAACTCAAACTTTTAGTCATGTTTATACACCTACCGCAAACCAATTTTTTGTTGAAGATGTTAATCTCGCCGGCGCTCTTTGTGAATTTTTCGATGCCGCTTACGTTAGTTATTTTTGTTCTTTCATGAAAGAAAAGTTTTTAAAATATTATTCATATATTCCGCATATATGGTATTGCATTTATTCTTGATCCTCGTTATAGACTTGATGCTTTGGGAAAGTGTTTAGATTACTATTATGCTTCTTTTTATGGTCCATTTCCTATGTACGAAGATAAACCCAAAGACCCTAAACAAGAATACAACGAGGTTAGTAATTTATTTTATCAATTATTTAATGAGTTCCATGCACAATATGGTAACACACCCCCTCCCTGACTCGAACATCTTCATCTAAAGGAAAATCATTTTTAAATCAACATTTGGCAATCTTATGAAAAAAGTAAATCAACTCCCGTTACTGAACAAAGCTCGATTAACGAGCTTTCTATGTATCTAACATTTCCTGTTGAATATGAAAAAGAGGATGTCTTTGATGTTCTAAAGTGGTGGAAGGAAAATTCAACAGTTGCCGTGGAACAAGAATTTAGTGCGGCCGACAACGTGCTAACAGGTTATAGAACGAGATTGAGCGCAAACTCTCTTGAGATGCTTGTTTACTTACACGATTGGCTGAAGGCCCAACGTAGAAGTAAAAAAGTGAGCATCACCCCCACCCGCCACTTTATGGAGGAAACAATCGAAGATGGCGGGGATTCCGATTGATTATTAGTTATTAGAAAATGTATTTCATGTTTTAAATTTTTCTCAATTCTCAATTGTGCTTGATATTACAAATAAATACACTCTAAGTTTTTTATATCTAGCAATTCTTGAAGTAATTTGTAAACAACATAAAAAAAAGTAAAAAAGAAAAAAATAGCTCGGCCCGACCCGAACCCGGTAGCTACCCGGGCCGATTCTGGACCTACATTTTTGAAAAAAAGCCCGCCCGGGTCTATCCCTAATAGGGAGTGTGGATGGCAGTGGTGGATCGATTGAGACAAGTGGCCGACAACAGTGACGACAATGCTAACTAGTCAAGGAGGGGACAGTCGTCCGTAATGTGACTGGGCAGAGGTTAGGTCATCGGGTTGGTTGTAACTATCACTAGGGCTGACAATGGTCACTGACGGTTGTCATGAGGGGGGTCATTGGCCAACAACGATCACTAGTGGATGGTGCTCGGCACTGCTCGCTAGTAGCGGTGATTATTGGCAACTAGGGTTGGACTCGGGGCGGGTGGCCCGACCCGGAACCGGCCCAGGAGGCCAGGACCGGTACTGTTCCGGCCCAGCCCGAACCGGTGGCCCGATCAGTGACCAGTCCGGGTAGACCCGACCCGGTGGGTTTCCGGTCCGGGCTCGGGTCACCCATAACAAGGTCCGGCCCGGTTCGGGCCAAATTTATTTTTTTGGTTTTTTTTTCATTTGTTTGGGCTCCACCGGGTTGGGCTTGATGTTTAGGAGGGGTTTGGGGGGTGAGGGGAGGGGTCAGGGATGAGTAGCTAAGCAAAAAAAAAACCAAACCCAAGGCCCGGCCCGGCCCGACCCGGCCCGGCCCGGCCCGACCCGGCCCGGCCCGGCCCGACCAGGATCGGACCCGGTGGCTACCCGGTCCGGTCCCGGGTCCAGCTATATAGAACCACCGGCCCGAGTCCAACCATATTGGCAAGGGGTCATCGGTGGCAAGATGTGACTAGTGCCGAAGTCAATAAGGCTGGAGTAGGGATGGACTCGGGCCGGGTGGCCCGACCCGGAACCGGCCCGGGACCGGCACTGTTCCGGCCCGGCCCGACCCGGTGGCCCGGTCAGTGACCGGTCCGGGTAGGCCCGGCCCGTGGGTTTTCCGGTCCGAGCTCGGGTCACCCAAAACAAGGCCCGACCCGGCCGGGACCGGGCCCGGTTCGGGCCATTTTTTTTTCAATTTTTTTTAACTTTTCGGGTTGGGCTGGGTATTTTGGGCCATTTGGGGTGGTTTGGGGGGTTGGGGGTGGGAGGGGGGTTAATTAGGAAGAGGAAAACAAAAAAAAATATATATAATGGGTTTGGCCCGGCCCGGCCCGGACCCGGTGGTTACCCGGGCCGGTCCCGGGTCCACCATTTCTGACCCGCCGGCCCGCTCGGGCCTAGGCCCGACCCGGACCCGAGTCCAACCCTAGGCTGGAGTCACTTAGTAAAGGGCATAAATGTCTTATTAGTTATGTAGTACAGAATACTTTTTTGGAATTTTTTAAGTGTGGTCTTATTTTTGTCCTAAATTTTTCCTTAAATACTATCCCCGTTCCATAAAAATTGCAACAGTTTGACTTTCACGTTTGCCAACGCGCAACTTTGACTGTAATTATATTTATTTACGTATTAGTAAACATTAAAAAAAGTTAATATATTGGAAATTTACATTAATACAAATTTATTAATATTTTATACATAATATTTTTATTATATACATAGTATATTATTAGAAAATCGTAGTCAAAGTAAGGTTATTATATTTTTGACATGATCACAAATAAATGATGCACCTAAAATGAGACTGTCTAAAGAAGAGGAATAAATATATGAGACTTAATACATTCTAATAATGGGATCAAGTGGCAAAAAAATCTTTTTTGTTAGTATATACTCCCGTATAATACAAAAACAAAAGTTTCCCCTCATTGCTCACTTTGGGCATCGCCCATCAGTGAACCCACCAGCCGATTTGCTTACACCAACCATCAGTGTGTCACGATTTTGACGGCACCACATCACTCACAGGTAGGGTTAATTGATACAGAGTAATATCATCGCCCTTATTTACTTGAAGTTTGTCATTCGAATGCAAATTAGACACCCCATAAAAAACAAGGCTTCATTAGCAGGTTTGTCCTTCTGATGCCATATTATATTGCAACGTCCACCCATTTTGGCAGTCTCAATGAAGCCTTCATCCCGAACTTGGCAAAGAAGATCGCATACAGAATGTGTAGCAATAACACAAAGAAAGTGGAGTTGATAAGAAGCTGCAAATATGAGAGGTAGCTAGATAAGGCCTTTGCTCTATTAAGTTAAGAGAAGATTAATTTCTGAAGCAGAAGGAACATAAATAGGTGCAATGATTCAATCCATAGCAGTGCACCAGTGGAGTACAAGAAAAATAATGTTATAGTTTTAGTAATATATGGGATAATTAATGGCATATAAGTAGACCTATACAAATGCAGGCCAGCCTGCTTAGCCAGCCCATAAAAAGAGCGGTATGGAAGTGCATACTTAACCATCAGGCTGCCGGGTCAGGAAGAAAAACAGAACATGTAAGAACGTTTGGCTTGTTTGCTCTGATAGGCCCGCGCCACATGTGTGCGCGTCAATAGCTTTTAGTATTATTTGTTATTTTTTATTTTAAGTTTATCATTATGCTGTTAGGAGTCATAGCAAAGTACTTTTTTATGGTCATGCACATATATCTTATAATAGTATTTGAAGAACAGAAACAAGTTTACCAAAAAAATTAAATATATGTATCCTGAATGGACAGACTGGTGAATAACCTGGTCCACACTTATGAACGAGTGTGAACAAATTTGGTACATAAGATCCTAGCAGGATTGGCGTTCTGGGTTTTTGGATAAAAATGTAAAAAGGCTGGTCCAGACTCATGGTAAAAATACCTTTCTACCTCTAAAATCACTACTTTCTTAAATATAAGTTCTCCTCAATGTACTCTCACTCATAAACCAAACCCCATTTTCGCAGGGGTGATCCAACCCTTTTACCCTTAAGGTGACATATTCAGCAATGCATAGTCCACTGTAGTAGAGGAAACTCTTCAAATACATACCACAGTCCCAAAAATAGTGTATATGACATCCATTGTTGGAATTGAATTGCTTCCTATGGATGTGAGAATGTATGAGAGGGAAGCATGGATATTTATGGTAATCTACAAAGCAGAGAATAGACATCATAAGTGAAAATCATCATACATTGTAAGAAACGAGGAGGAAAACATGGATAAATAAGGATAACTTTAGAGATCATGCTTTACCAGTTGGAGTATGTTTTCCCTTATTAAAAATGAAGACAATAGCACATACCCTATAGCACCTATTGCCCGAGCCTGTAAAATAAACGAGCACCAGTAACTACAAATCACACAATGGCTGGACATAATGTTTTTTTACGGATGGTCTAAGAGTGGAAGAGGAAACACTACAATTGCACAAAAGAAGATTGATTGCATCCAACTAGTGCGAAACCTGACAAAATTACAATTGAAACAACATTATGCAAGTAATGCAACCCATTGGTTATGTTTGGAATGCACAAAAGGTAGAGAGAAGAGAAAAACTGCTAAGAAAACTAGTTTTCTTTTAGAGCTCGTTCGGTAACACTCAATTGGTTGATTGGTTGAATCGGCTGAAATTAATGAAATTCTGGCTGAAACACTTGAATTTTATGAATCTTTTGAATTATGGAAAAAACTATTTTCAAAATATATTTTATTAATAAACAAAAACTATATGAAAATAGCTAAAATGGCCATTTATAGTTTATAGTAACTTCAACCAATTCAGTTAGAAAAGTAACTCGGGCCTTACTTAAGTTGATTATTAGACCATTCATCGCACGATATCAAACGTTACGTGTTTGGTAAAAACGTTGATTGATAAGGCTGATAAAGCTTAAAATAGGGGTTACCAAACGGGCTCTTAGTTTGGGAGAACCTGGCAAATGCTAAAGAATATAAAAATTGAGGATTTTAAAGAAAACTAACACATATTTTTTGACCAAATATATGAAGTTGAATTTTTTAGTTTAAAATATTTTTGACTATCATTTCCGAGTGGCAAAAGGACCCTTAAGAAACAAATCACCTTTTATGGGAGAAAGAATGATTCTAATTCATTCACGTTTTTTCATTTATTTTTACAACATGGGACATAGCCTTATAGGGATTTTCATTACTAGAGTATTAATCTCAGTATAGCGAGGACATAGAGAGCCTACTGATTCATTACCACAAATTCTATAACAGGAAAAAAACACCTAGAATGATCTTCAAAAAAACATATGTAGTATTACATTCATCCCAAAAAGAGACATGTTTCACCAAGGTACACACACCTTTCTAGTTTTAATAAGGTACAATTATTGGAAGTCATCAATTCTAGCTATGTTTCTAAATTTCTATGTTAATTTAACTATTGTAACCAATTTAATTTTCACTGAATTTGATGAACATTAGTTTCTCTTGTTCAAATAGGACTCTTTGTCTTTCAGGATGGGGGTAATAAAATACGAGTCAAGTACGATACCAAAGCATTTTGAAATCAATGTTATGATTGCGTACCTCCATAAAGAACCCATAGTAAAACCAAGTAAGCCGTGCATTAGCTGGGTAAGGGAAGGAGAGGAAGAAGAAGCGAACTAATCAGTAACTTGAACATACTATCAGCAAATTGCTGCAGACCAAAACATATGCGAAGTTGTAAGGCCAACGATGACTAAGAAAAGAGGCCATCTTAGATGTCAAACACCACCTGTTTCTATAAAGGAGCATAGTTTACAGCATGATGAACTTCTAACTTTCCATGAGAAACTTTATGTGCTCTTGTCCCATTATTCCCATAATCCCATAAAAAGAACCTTATTTCAACAGCATTGATGTCCCAAAAAATAATGTTGCAGATCAAATTCAGATACGTACATGGTTTAAAAGGCGCTTATGAGGCGTGTTTTGAAGCATGCCTCACACGCATAACAGTTTGAGGTGGGATTTGTTTTACTATCAGGCTGTAACTTAATAAGGTCTGAGTAGATTTCATCAAAAAGACCTAAAATCTATTTGCCAAATATTCTTCCATTCTCTTCTTTCCAAAAAGGTTCAAATAACTCAAACAATTCCACTTGTTTTTCATTTCTTGTTAATTGAATGATAACAAAAAAGTAACATATAACTTCTTTATTTTTTCTTTTTTATTCAAATTGCTCCAGGATATCAAAGTATCCAGGATCCAGCCATTGCTTCTCCATTTTTCTCACCTTAACATCTTTTTCTGTTCTCAAATTATGACAAATTTTGAAAGCTTCCCTTAAAAGAGTTAAACTTGAAAAGTGATCTTTGACGCATATTTATGACTCATTTTTATGTATGATTGATATTTGAACTGCTTATAATTTTTAATTATAAAGGAAGTTCAGGTATAAAGTTTGAGGCATGCGCCTCACCTTGCAAATGCAAAAAATGCCTCATGACTTAGAAGTGCCTTTTTAAACATTGGATAAGTATTTAATAAAATTGTAAAATAATAACGTAGAACAAGTCAAATATGGAGTACTTAATTAAAAGTTTCTAAAACATAAGTACCATTTATGACTTACAATGCAGTACATAGTTAAAAAAGTTGTACTTTGATTACACAAACTATTTTTTATGAGATAGGGGGTATAACTTTTCATTATCTTGGTGCATTACTACAAAACTTATAAGAGCACCATCTTTAGAATGACTCAAAAAAGAGGTGTGTATATTAGAAGAGTAGTAGTTTTCTTTAGAATGTAATTCTGGAGTCTGTAAATTTAACCATATTCAAAACTATGTTATCATTGCTCACCACATAGTTAACTGCTTTCACGGGTCCAGACAGGACAAACAATAGCACAAAAGTTGCCACCTAAAAAGATTGAAAAAATAAACCACTTTTAGAATGTATAACTATAAATATCTAAAGATAATTTTGTGTATAAGTGGAGAATTATACCATTATAGATTAAAAAAACATGATGTGTAATGAATGTGAGGACAGACCATAGTTTTTCTTCCTGCGGCAACACCCCATCTCATGGAAGATATTACTATGGGTAGTGCAAAAAAACATCCAAAGTAATTCTGTGAAAGAATTAACCGGGTGAGAATTATATGCAATTGAATATCCCAGAATAAAAGAAGACTGATGTCACCTCGACCTCCCCCCCTCCTAAAATGAAAATAAAAAATACATTTTGCTGGATTAATATTTCTCCATGAATGGATGATAGATGCAAACCTTTGCTAGTGAAGTCTATTCCAGCACCTCTCTCAAATTTAGTGAATCGTAGACCAGCATTTCATGTGTCTTTTTCCGTATTCTTAATAACATTTCCTCATTGTCTTACTGAACAGTTATTTGTTCATTCTAACTTCCCTCGGAATGAAGGGGGGCATTTGTTTCGCAAAATGTAAGATCACCTTAGGTAATAAGATTCTTAGACTCCCCGAGTAATCACAAAACATGAACCAACAATGCAACCTCACAATCTCACATTACTTTCTCTAAGGTAATCTAACAATACCATATTGCTTTAACAAGGGAACCTCACATAAATTTAACCAAACACCCCCTAAGAGTTTTAATTGCATGTCTTCCATTAAACGTCAACCATGGGAGTACTGCCTATTTTGTCATCGGAAAAGCAATGAATAGGACCAAAAGAATTACTAAAAAACGTGAAACAGGTAAACCTAGAATGAAATTTACCTCAATTGCAAGAGAATTGCTCAATAGATAAGCTAACCCAGAAACAGCAGCGAACATGGCGGTCTCTACAAGCCTGAGAGTCTTCTGGAAAACGGCACCATCTTTCGCCAAGTAATCATACCCCTCAGCATCCCCTGAGCAGCTTAGCTCTTCTTTGCTGCTCCAATTTGGACTCTGGGCAGTCCATGCCCTGAGATAACTGAACCTGGAATTAGTGAAACTGCAGGAATTGTCTGTCTTAGAATCACGTGATGGAGAAAGAAACCGAGTCGGGCAGATATTTAATGTGCGTGGATGAAGAGTAGTTTTGGAAAGTCGAGGAAGTTTGGGAGTATAGTGGTTGTAGTGGTGAAGCATGAGGATTTTCATGGAGGATTGGTTTGTTCTGTGTAGTGGGAGAGTGAGATTGTACTCATATGCTAACCAGCGCCGGACCGGAGGGTGCTAGAGTGGACATATTGGTTTTGAATGAAAAGTTTTTTCGGGAACAACGCTAATTAAATAAAGGGGAAATTCTCGAAATAAGACTAAAACGGTTTCAAAATTTCAAGATAGGATTGTCATGTTTTTTATTCCCAAAATATGACTAATTTCTGACATGTTTAGAAAATAATGTCATGTTTGAAGTCTGGTACTGCCAAAACATGACAGCAATTAGTCCTATTTTAGGAATAAAAACATGGCAGTCCTATTTTGAAATTTTCAAACTGTTTTAGTGTTATTTCGGGTAATATCTTGAAAAGGAGCAAAAAAAATCTATAAATTATCAACAAAGAGCATCTATGCCATCAATCTCTTATCTGAGGGCAATTGCACCCTTAAGTCACCATACATGAACTTAACGGAACTAGCGGTTAATTTTATTTATTTATTAGCTAATTTTTTAAATCACTTGAAATACATGAAATATAAATAAAACTATTAGTAAAGAATTACTCAAGATTAGAGCCCATTTGATATGGTAAAATAAAATTAGGGTCCTTATAAGCACTTTATATTTTGATATATAAATATAAATATGCTACCAAACCCTTTTGGTAACATATGGTTTAGCTTATAAATCAATTTTTTTGTCAAAGTATTTTAAACCAACTATCTTAGATAAATTGTTTGATAGTTAAAGTAAGTGAGGTTGAAATTATTTTTGGGAGAATTTGAGTTTGCACCTCATGTTTTGAGTGATATTTGACTTTGTAACTCATTTTTAAAATCATTAATGTATGCACCCCATTAGTCCAAAAATTGTGAAGAAGTGAGATGCAAAGTCAAATGATTTTATAGTGAATTGGGGTGCATACATTAATGATTTTGAAAATATGATGCAAAGTCAAATATCAACCAAAACATGGGGTGCAAATTAAAATTCTCCATTATTTTTCCAATTAAATTGAATCAAATTGTTTAAAACCAGCTATTTTAGCATTTTCATCTCATTTTTTCTTTATAATACTACACCCCCTCATAAAATTGAGATAAGAGGGAGTAGTGTGTTCATTAAGAAAATTGTGATTGTGTGACTAGTATTGAATTGATAAAATTTGAAAATAATTATAATCACCCAAATATTCACAAATATGATATGCGACAAATTTAATAAGACAGACAAAAAATGTAAAATGGGATAAAGATAGGGACATAGAGAATGTTAATAAAAATATATTCTAAATTGTATTTCTATGTAATTCAATATATTCAATTAATTGAGTCACTTCGGTCAAAATTTGATAAATTTCAATACATTCAACCAATTAAATCAATTTGAGTGTTACCAAATGCGCTCTAATCATATTACAGAGCAATTCGTTCTTAATTGCTAATAACTTTTTTGTACGGAGCAATAACTTTTTTTCTAATTACTAATAACTTTTTTGTATAGTTATTATTTCGTATCAGAAACATTCAGATCAGATCGGATCAGAAAAATTCAGATAAGATCAGATCAGATTTTAAAAAATTCAGATTAGAAACATTCAGAAAAACAAATCTCAGTAGCTTTTATGATTTACTTGTACTTTTAATCATTTTATTTATATTTTATACTCCGTGTTATTCAACTAATTAACAAAATTAGTTATTAATAAGTAAAATTATAATATACTAGTACTATCTATTGAAAATCCAAATGAGCAACTTTAATACTCTGTAGTTGCCGATCTGCTAATTGGGGTTACCGACAAAAATAAAGGGGTGGTTATCCTAGATTTGGGAATTTTAAAGTTTTTTGCCCAAAAAAAAAGTTTAAGGGCATAAGTGTCCTTTGCCTACAACTTGAAGGGGGGTTTTGCCCCTTTTCCCTTAAATAAATAATTCTCAAAATACTGTCGGGATAAAAATAATTCCCAAAATACTGCTGGAATTAACCACGTTTAAGCAAAGCCGTCACTTGAAGTGACAGCTCTTCATCATATTGTACAAAAGCCGCCACTTGGAGTGGTGGCTCTGGTGTTACTATAGAAAAGTCGTCACTTGGAGTGACGGCTCTTGTCTTCAGTAATCAAACCTGCAGTCTATTCAGCGTGCAAAAAACACAAAAACCTGTTCACAGCTTATTCAACGGGAAAAAAACACAACAACCTGCTCATCACAGTACAGTCAACTCAAAAACATCAAAACGCTTCTCTTTATAGTGAATATAAGTTGCTAAAAATTAAAACATAGTTGAGACACAATGAATCAATGGAACTACATTTGATCACGATGCTAGAAATATCACATAAAGTTGATAATAAATCCAGAGTTTCATAAATCGAGCAACTAGTTTATGTTTAACATAATAATGTAAAGTACAAGAATCACAACTCAACATGATCGTCATCATAAATTAAAGCTCATGTGGTTGTGCTTGTGCCTGACGTCGGGGGCGTTTGCGTTGGTTACGAGGCTGAAGAAACACTCTATCACGTCGTCGTGCATGGGAAGATCCTGCAGCGGATGTAGATGTCTTGGAATACTGAGAGGCGGCCACATATTTATGGTCTACTTGACCCAATACATCATCACACGGTGCAGCTGTGCCCGCGCATACCTCATGATATCTCTGTACATTTTTCCCCTCATCAAGTACATCAGTCGTTCTGTCGTAGATAGTATGCAAAGCATGCGTCTGTAATGAAAATATGTGATAAACACATGAATGAATAAATAAAGTGATTTATGTGAATAAAACTGGGAGAGATGACAGACCCAGTCCGACGACAGTCTTCCATGTCGCAGCCGCTCCAGAGTCCGTTTGAATAGACTTCGCAGGGGTGAGTGTGAAAATTTTCATCCCGTGGAGCTTCAAGTTCTTCGTTCTTTCTTTTTCTCGACCATGTCGCAGGCTTCCAAAGTCAACAGAAACCCTTTGTTCTGGAAACATATCACACTCTCCATCGGAGTATTTGTGGGCAACTGACCTTCTGCTCCTTTGTCTCAATCAATTCTTTCAATTTAATTTCAATTACTCTCATCAGTCAGGTAAACAAGTCCACCTTTTTATTAATTCATTTTTCTCCATTTTTTTTTATTCCTTCAACAGTTCGTTCTTCTTTCTTCAAAATCAAATACGTATAAAACTAATCACATGTATACTACCCCTTACATGATTGAGACACATCAAATTCTTTATTGCATTATATTTATGCCTATGTTAGTTTGGAAGATTTTAGTTTGGAAGGTTGAGATGAATTGTGGTCAATATTTTGACATCAAGGTGTTTGTTGAAATTCCTCACCCAAATGTCTGTCACTACACTGAATAACTTTTCAGGAGTCCTCTAAATGCGTACATAATAATAAATTCATAAATGGAATACAATTCCTCCACTTCATTTTCCCGCTCATTGACATCCCTAATTTTAGTCGTCCATTTCACTTTTCCATTTTTGATTAATTATTCTGCTCAAAGGATACATCCTTTTTCCTTCAAGCAAGATGTAGACATTTTTGTTCTTCAATTTCACCTCTTAAAACTACTTATCAATAGATTGATTATTTACTTTAGGTTAGTTTTTTCTCTACTTATCAATAATTGTGATTTCTTTAATTTGTTTTCCAAAGCAGGGAGAAGGGCACTCTCTATACCAGCATTTTCTTACTGAACACCAACGGCACCTCCAAGAGAGAAGAAGAGAAGACTCACTTCATTTCGTTAAACTTAACCAATCACCCTAGCAGCCTTAATGCTCAATGCTGGGAGAAGGGCACTCTCTATGCCTACTATTCTTCTATCTCCTGCCCCAGTCAGCTAGGCTCACTTGGTGATCCTATTTTTCTCTACTTATCACTTGGTGTTCATAAATTGATACATATTGACAAATATTTGGTATTTAGAGGGCTTTGTAATGAAATTTCCTTCAAGTTTAATCGAATATGTTGTGCTTATTTTTTGTTTTTTTATCATAACACAATATCAATATGCATCCAGTATAAAAAGAGTTATTTAAACATTTCAGTGTAAATTCTGACTATTCAAAAACATCTTTATCAATTTTATGCTGTTAACCTCATATGCTGGGAAAATGTTGAATGCTCTTATGAGTTTTCTTTGCAATTTGACTTTCTCTATTCTTACCTAAATGGGATGTTCTTATATTACCAGATCCATGCCCAGATAGTTTTGTATTTAAATAGACTACTCTTAATGATTAATGATTAGTGTACTTTAATTTAGAATATGGAATACAATCTTTTCCTTATTACTGCATCGTGAGGTTATTCTCTAAACATTCATGTTTTTTTTCTCTACTATACGAATATTGCATGTTCCAAGATACTTTCATATTATTCTTGAGTAATTTTGTCATATGGAAACCGAAAATACGACGTGGCAATGTGTTAGTATATAATGGAAATTGCAAATTCATATTTTAGTATTGGGAAATTTTATGATTTCTAGGTTTTCCTTGCTAATAATGGTGTCCATACATGTTACATTTTTGTGAAATATACCAACTATATGTTGGTCCTTGATGGAAGAAAAAACCATATTGAACAAAACACCTAAATTAGTTTGATGAGGAAGAAGAGGCTATTCTAATCCTACTGGTTTTATAAGCCGAGAAGCAAAACGATGTCATGGCTTAGTACAAAACAAATGAGAGAAACCAGAAGAAAATGAAGGAAGAAGAATTTATGCATAAACTGAGAGGAGGGACAGAAAACTGAACACATGTATGAGTTGCATTTTATTTGTGTACATCACATATACTAATTTACTAATAAGTTGTCAGGACAATTGAACATGCATAATAAATCTGAATTTTCATATTTGATGGATGCATGTGGACTAGGTGTTGTTTTCCAGGTGTTCTTTTCTATTTATATTTTCCTGTGGGATCTTCCTAAATTTTGGAGGTTTCAAGTGTCCTATACCAGATCACAAGCTATTTTTATTGATTAACCGATCTAACAATGGATGCCTTCAAATTTGCGGTGCTAAAGATGTTCCAATCTAAGCACATAGGTGACACTGTGGATATTATCAACTGGTA